AGCTGAAGACCCGCCTATCCCCCCGTCCCCGCCGCCGTGTCTCCTCCGCACTGGGCCCCGTTCCCGACCAGGCGACCGGCCCCCAATCCAGGCGACACCAGCCTTCCCCGGGCCGCAGGCTCCTTAACTGAGGTGGGCGACGTCCAGGACGCAGAACAGCTTCTCCAGGGACTCCCGGCCTGCCTCTTCGGGGGCCTGCCTCTTCGGGGGGCCTGCCTCTTGGGGGACCTGCCTCTTCAGGGGGGCTGCCTCTTCGGGGCCCTGCCTCTTTGGGGGGCCTGCCTCTTCGGGGGGGCTGCCTCTTCGGGGGCCCTGCCTCTTCGGGGTCCTGTCTCTTTGGGGGCCTGCCTCTTCGGGGGGGCTGCCTCTCCGCGGGGCCTGCCTCTTAGGGGGGGCCTGCCTCTTCGGGGACCTGCCTCTTGGGGGGGCCTGCCTCTTTGGGGGACCTGCCTACCAGCCTTGCCTCCTGGCAACCACTCCAGCTTGGCTCTTGCGCCCAGGACCCACCAGTGCGCATACATTTAAAGCGCCTGCTCATTCCAGCGGGGAAGGCAGAAGCCCGTGAGGAGTGAGTTCTGTGCGGTTAGGAGGCATCCATGCCGCGGGGCAAACGGTAGATCGATCGGCTTTAGAGGTTGGGGTCCTGGTGAAGGCGGTGAGCAGAGTAGGCCTGACGGACAAGTCAGTGGAAGGGGAGGGCGTGAGTCCTGTCAGCACACGGGGAAGCGCCTTCCAGCAGCGGGATGAGCCGCCGCTGCAAATGCCCGAGCTGGGGGCATTCCTGGCATGTTTGAAAATGGAGGTGGCCGCCGGCTGGTGTGGCTCAGTTGGTTGAGCATCGTCTTATGCACCAAGTGGTCACCTGTTCAATTCCCGGTCAGGGCACATGCCTTGTGCTCAGTGGTTGAGTGTCGACCCCATGCACCAAGGGTTGCCTGCTCAAACCCCAGCAGGGGGCGTGCAGTTGTCTTTCCCCTGGAAGTTTCTATCTCTCCCTCTCTCTTCCTCTCTCTCTAAAATCAATGGAAACATATTTAATAATAAAAAAAAAAGATAAGAAAATGGAGGTGGCTATTGTGCCCAGACCGGAGTGCAGGCGGAGCAATAGGCTCTTGGCAGGACTTTGACTTTTACACCCAGAAAGAAGAGCGGACACAACGAGATACCACCACACACCTATCGGATGGTTATCGCCAATGAGTCAAACAAGTGCGGGCGAGGATGGGGGAAAAGGCAACGCTGGCGCGTTGTTGCTGGGATTACAAATTGGTGCCGCCACTATGAAAGCAGTGTCTGTCCCAGTTATCTATTGGTGCCTAACAAACCACCCCAGAACTTCCCGGCTTAAAGCAACGATTTACTTCCTCATGGTTCTGCAATCCAGATTGGGCTCAGCTGGTTGGTTCTGCTGCTGGCTGGTGTGGCCAGCTGTCTCAATTTGTCACTAATTCCTTTACTCTTTGTCAGTGTGCGATGCTCCACCCAATTGGTCCTGTGACTTGGTTTTGATGCACTTACCCTCATAGAAAGTTCTGGGACTCAGAGCCCAGGACCGAGGACGGGCAGCTTTGCCTTCCTCCACCTTGGTGACATACCGCCAGGTCATCAGTCTCACTATCTGGAGACCATCATGCTGTGCAAACCCCAAACCAGCCATGTGGAGAGGCCTCACGGAAAACACCTGACCAGTATGTCACTTGACCACACCTGGGCTCCCCCAGCCACCCCAGGCGAGGCATCACACATGTATGTCTCTTTGGCTCAGTGGATAGAGCGTCAGCCTGCGGACTGAAGGGTCTTGGGTTTCATTCTGGTCAAGGGCACATCCCCTTGTGGACTCCATCCCCAGTGTGTGTGGGGGGGGGGGACATGCAGGAGGCAGATGATCCATGATTCTCTCTCATCATTGATGTTTCTGCCTCCCTCTCCCTTCCTTTCTGAAATCAAGAAAAAATATATATTTTAAAAAAAGAAAAGAAAAGGGATGTCTTGGATGTTCCATTCTCAGCAGATACCGCACAGAACAGAAGAGCCTCCAGCTGAGGGCAGCCTCGTTGTCACAATAAGTAATCAATTGGGGTAGTTTGTTCTGCAACAGTAGCTAGCGGACACAGCCGGGGCCCCTCAGCCACAGTCCCTGGGTGTGATTGAGGCAAGAAGTCTGAGCCAGTGGCACTCAGGTGTCCAGGCAATCTCTCTCCCTCTCTCCATCTTCCTCTCTCTCTCTCTCTCTGTCTCTCTCCCTCTGAGGTTTCCCCAGCAGGTAAGCAGGCATTGTTACGTGGCAGCTCCCACACCCACGGGGACGAGATGAACAGCTGCCAGGCCTCCTGAGCCCCTGCAGCTGGTGTGGCATCACCTGTCACAGCACCACCAGTCCAAGCAAGCCGGGGGCCAGCCCAGCTTCCATGGTGGGGATGGAGCCACCTTGCGATGGGAGAAAAGCGCACGTGGAGAAGGGATGGGAGAAGGGGTTGGCAGACATCTCTGAGACAAACTAACCAAGCCATTGGAGGGAGCCGCTGGAGTTCCGGGCAGAGCTGTGGGAAGGAGAGACGGTTGATGGTGTTGTGTTCTTACTTATGATGCTGCGACATCTGGGGGGTCGTGCTGCCTTGGGGGGGACTGCCTCCCAGAGCGAATTCCTAGAGACCGCAAGCAGCTTCCTGGGACCACACCTTTCACATGCCAACCAGCCAATCCAGAGCCCCCTCTCCCACCCACCTCCTTTATCTCACTCACTCACCACGCCAGGATCTCTCTGCCTCCCTCCCCACAGGGCCAGGGACTGGACACTGGAGACCACCCCCCTGGACCGAGCCCGCTGGGCTTACTCACAGCCTCCACTGCCTCACCCACTCCTTCCCACAGGAAACTCCAGGGCTCGGGGCCGAGCCACCCTGGCATTTCCCCTCCTCTTACGTAAGCACAAAAGTCTTCTTGCAAGCGAGCAGTCGTCTCTTTGTCTGTCACCTCACTCAATTAAAACAAATCCTGGGTACATTCTATTTGGGTACATATTGATTTCAGAGAGGAAGGGAGAGGGGGAGAGAGAAACATCCATGATGAGAGAGAATCATGGATTGGCTGCCTCCTGCACGCCCCACAGTGGGGATGGAGCCTGCCACCTGGGCATGTGCCCTGATGGGGAACTGAACCGTGACCTCCTGGTTCATAGGTCCATGCTCAACCACTAAGCCACGCTGGCCGGGCAAAGCTTTTAAGGTGACAGGGAAATGGTCTAGAAGTGGCCACAGTGGTCAGGAGGGCACCCAAAGGCACGGGAGGTGTGTGAAATAAACACCCACCTGGAGAGGTCCCAGGGAAGCCGGCGCCAGGAGAGCGAGAGGAAGGGCTGTTGAGAGAAAGGGGTCAGGACGTAGGTGCGGTCGGCGGGTGTGAGGGCCCGGCAGCAGTCTCCCCGCACAGGGGATGGGTGGGCAATGGAGTCGGAATAAAGGCTGTGGGGAGCCACATGGGGGTCCAGTTGTGGGAGACAGAGGGTGACCTGAGATAAAAACCACCCACTTTCTCTTCTCATTTACCCCATCTCAGCAGCAGCCAACACACCCCTCTCCTCCTGCCTTCTTGACTTCTGCAGTGACGTGGCATTCTGGGATGCCCACAATCTTCTCCTTCCCCTGGGCGCCCTGAACTTGCTCTGGAACCCCCAGGCTCTAGGAAGCCAGGCCGGGTCTGGCGCTGCCTGCCTACACCCCACCCCCCCAGTGCTCCCGGCGCCCCCTTTCCTCACCTGGCCCAGCAGGACCCT